GGAGGTGAAGTAAGAGGTCAGTTTTCATGAGTGAAATTGAAGGTGGGGTATATAATTGACTAGAATTAATCTGCCACATTTTCCTTTCAGCCTGTCAAGTTAGCTGTTGTTTGCAGAGACGGTCAAGTCCATCTGTTTGAACATGTATTAAATGGGTAAGAAGTTTGTAAGTCAGAGATGCTGGCCTCTGTTCTTTTGTGTTGTCATCCACCTCATTCTTGGCATTACATTCCTGCTCATTCCATTAGATTATTGTGAAAGTACTCTTGATTGCTTATCTACAGGAGTATGTGAAGAACTCAAGTTTTTGGGGTCATAGGCTATGTTATTTCTCTGGTTAGGAGAGTGGATTTTTATGAAGTATGTATAGTGACTATTGATAACAGTAATAACAGTTCGAGGGGAAGTTGCTCAGTTGGGGAGACGTGCTTGTGGCTTTGGGTGATGCCTGGGTTCTTCTTCCATGGTGGTTTATATGCCTTTTGCCTGTGTGTATGTAACTCAGTGAAGTGTCCTGTGCTGTTTCCTGATACCGACGAGTAGCTAGAGTTAGAAAAACAGCATGCATTTACAGAACATTCTGGAGGGCAAGGGATGTAGCTAGAGTGCCCAGTGCCAAGGCTGAACTCTAGCATACAAAGAAGGAAAAAAATTCCAGGAATTTTGAGTCTCCTACCATTTTGCTCTCTTAGAGAATATTAACATTTCCATGTGTAGCACTTAAGGACTTCATTTTACACAGTAGTGTGTGCTTTCCCAGTTGGTGATTAGGCCTGGTGAGGATTTTCATGTTTCTCCTTGGCACAGGTAGGCCACTGAAGGTTTTTTGTTTGTTTTAATTATTGCATGTGTATGGGTGTTTGCCTCCATGCCTATATTTGTATCACTTGCATGCCTGGTGCACATAGAGGCCAGAAGAAGGGTCGTTGGGTCCCCCTGGAGCTGGAGTTATAAATGATTATGAGTTGCCATGTGGGTGCTGGGAATCCAACCTGAGTCCTGGAAGAGCAGACAGTGTACTCAACCTGCACTAAGTCAGCAGTACTCAACCTGTGGGTCGCAACCCCTTTGGGGGTTGAATGACCCTTTCACGGGTCACATATCAGATATCCTGCATCTCTGATGTTTATGTTATGATTCATGACAGTAGCAAAATTACACTTGGGAAGTAGCAACAAAGATATAATTTTATGGTTGGAGGGGTCACCACAGCATGAGGAACTAACAGTATTAAATAGTCACTAGCATTAAGCCATCTCTCCAGTCCCCGTTGAGTTTTAAGCAGAGGATTGATTCATGACCTGAGGTTTTTGATTGTTATTCTGTCAAAACTGTTGGAAATAGATTAAAGAGAGGTAAAGGACAAAACAGAGGTGTGAAGTCCTGGGTGTCGAGACAGTTGTAGAGTCAGGATACTAGGAGGAAGTTGAAAAGGTGGTCTGATATGATGCATAAAGATCGATATGATAGACAGTGTGAGCTCACTGGGAGTGAGTGGGTAGCAAGAGATTGGGATGCAGTGAAGGGCCTGGACCTTGGAGCCAAGAGTCCTGAGTTTCAGAAGGAACTGCCACTTCAGTACTGCATATGGGAACCTCAGAACATAATGCATCAGGGAATAGAGTTGGGAAGAGATGGCCGTGAGTCAGTGAACTCTTGAAGAGGTGTGGTGTCCACGATATAGAAGATGGCGGCGGGATGGAGAAGTAGCTGCTATTGCAGACAGTTGAAATGTTTTGGGGATGACAGAAGGAGAAATTGGTATCTTAAATGTCAGTGGAGAACAAGAGTACACTTAAGTTCCTGATACAGACAGTGTGGTGAGAAAACAGCCACCAGTCAGGACTGCACGGATGAGCCAGACAGGCAGTGTCCTTGGAGAAGACATGGAGGGAGGGTGTGGTCAGCTCTCAAGTTGTGGTGAGGCTTTGAGGGTTGAGAGTAATGGCGATGGGACTAGCTGGGAAAAGGTCTGTATGAGAGCTGAAGTTCAGGACAGTGAGAGATCATTTGGGAGTGTAGGGCCTCCTTTTGGGAGAGAGGGGCATAGGAGTTTCAGGGCTGGTGTTGGTAGGGACATGTGAAGTCTTGAAAGAGACTGTAGTGTGGAGATGAGGGGAGTGTTATGTTTTGTGATTTGATGGCAATTTCAGATTCTCTAATCTGACTTTCCCTTTATACTTAGACACTGCAAAAAGCCTTTGACTTCAAATTGCACAATTCAGATAGCAACACCTGGAAAAGGCAAGAAATCCACACCGAAACCCATCCCTATTCTAGCAGCTGGGTTTTGCTTAGACAAAACATCCTTACTGCTTGTGTATGGCAGTTGGTTTCAGCCTACCATTGAGCGAGTGGTGAGTAGATGCTTCTTTGGACACAACAATTCAGATTTTAAAAGGGGCATTTTGGCTTCTCATTGGAATACTTGAGAGAAAACAAACAATATTCTCCTTTACTTAAACTTTCAGTGGGTGGTTTAATTTGTGAGAATTTCTCTAAATCCACCAGATGGAGTCACCTCTTCCCTCCCTCCCTCTTAGTGTTTTTCGTAGAATCTGATGTTTCCTGTGTGTACCTCACTTTGAACTAGTCCTCGTTTTCATGGTCCTACTGGGTACATTTTTTTTTGTCAGCATGAATGACTTGAGTTTTGCCCAAATACATAAAATGCACTAATAGCTCATAGCCCTTAATGGTGGCACCCATTGTATTTTCTGAATGGAAATGTAATGGGTAGTGTCCCGACGTTTTTTTCTACAGAATTTTTTATAAAGATTTGCAAGTTCTTAGTCATGTCCAGTGTTCAATGTGCTTAAGCTTGGTTTTATGCTGTTGCTTAGTAAAGCTGCTAGGGAGTCAAGTAAGCTTTCTTGAGTTTATTAAAGAGTATTATTTTTTTCTTCCTTGGAATTAAACTCAGGGCCTCCTTCATGCTAGACGAGCACTGTAGCACTGACACAGCTCTTGTCTGGTGGCCCTGGCTGGCTGTGAACTTGTGAGGGTTCTGCTGCCTCTGCCCCCTGGCTGCTGGGACTTAGGTGTCATCCATTCCAAGAAGTACTTTAAACTGATCGCGTACATAGAGTTGGACTAAACAAGGAGAAAAAGATGCAGCTGAAAACTCGCCTGCTGGCCGTATGGGATGCCCCTTTCTGGATGACAGCCTGTTAGCTGTTTTGGTTCTACAGGTGTTAGGCATATGGAGTTACAGAGAAGCTTTCCTGGGGACATAAGTCACTTGTTGCATGTGCCCGTCCCCTTTTTGGGCATCCTGCCTGGGTATATTGGTCCTCTCAGAGCAGTCTGTTAGTAAGCTGTGCTTTCTTTGACTTGTTTATAGAGAGAACTTCTTAGGGAAACTTGGAGTGGGACTCAAGTAGATTTGTGGCGGGGTCTTTATTTATAAGAATGTTGGATTACATACGTTTTCCTGTAAATGAAAACTGTCTGTTGGCCTTTTAAAACTGAAGTGAAAAATTCTAGTGCTCCATAAAGAAGGGAATACACAGGGCACCAGTGCCTTCAATTCATGTCTACTCTGCTGCCATCCATCTGAGTGGAGATTGGGGCTAACGGGTGGCATGGAGGTCTTCTGTACTTGTCATGCTTTATGGAGACGAAGTTGTTTGTTTCTCATGTCATTGATGGTTGCAACGTTTGACATTGCTTTTCTCCCTCTCTCTGAAAAACCATTTCCAGGCTTTGAACTCCAAAGATACTCATATATGTTTGGAAAGAGACATTTCCAATTGCTGGGCTCCAACAGTAGAAACGGCTATAACCAAGGTGAGCACACTACAGCTTTGATGTTAAGAATAATAGATTTGGCTAAATTGAGTTGAATATAGTGCCATGTTAGTGACTTCATTTATTTTTTATCCTGTCTCCCGAGATACAGTTTTGCTATTTAGCCTAGATTGAAACTCACGATTCTTCAGCCTCAGTGCTGGGGTTACAGGTGCTTGTACTACCACACCTGGCTCCTTTCATTATCTGAAATGCTTTTTATGCTCTTTTCTTAGAAATGTGAGACTGTGCTTTTAAACATAAAGGTTGTAAAACTTCTCTGTGCTCTTGGTATGGTGCATGATGATCTGGACAGGGAACTTGGTGGGAGTGAGTGTTAATAGCGGGTTGCAGTGTTGCTGAGCAATCTCAGAACTTGGAAGAGTACAGCTTTGTCTTGCTGTGTGTTGTATTTCAGGGTAAAATCAAACCACAGTAGAGCTGAGGCTCATAGCCACCTGGACCCTCGTTGTGGCAGTCTGTTTTGAGCATAACTTGCTGTTGACATGTAGATAGATGCCTTGTTTGGTGATGAGCTAGGAAGGAAAGCCAACCCATGCTGTGATGATGGTTTCACATCCAGCTGAGTTTCAGGGATGACCCTTTCTCTTCGACTGTCTGAGCATGGTTGGCAAAGATTTGGTTTTGGAGGTTGTCAAGTGTGTAACTTGAGCAGTTTTTAAATTACACAGCTATTTTTATTTGGTAGGTTTTACTTTTCTTGGCTTATACCCTTACTGAGATATTGCGAACTTTAAAACGCTGAGCTTTTAACCAGTACTTTCAGTTCATTTGCCAACATTCAGTTCCCATTTTGTCTTGAATTCCTGTCATGGTGAGTACATTGTATTACATTGTCTGATGGAAAAGCCTTTGGAGAGCTGCTTGCTTTCTCTGGTCGGAAGCACAAGAACTAAGTCCCTCTTTCCCATACCTTGATGCCGTGTGACAGGTGAGAACACCAGTGATGGATTCTGAAGCAAAGGTTCTGGTGCCTGGGGTTCCTGGACACCACGCCCCAATCAAGCCTCCGCTCTCACAGCCTAAGGAGGTGGAGAACAAGAGAAAATTAGGCAGTAATGAGGTAATGACTACTTACTTGGGGTTGAGACACTGTGGAGTACATTGGGTAGAGCTGGAGCTCATTCTGGAGAAGCTTGCAGCGGGTACTTAGTAGCTGGGTAGACAAAGTTGATAGGTTAGGTCAGGATTTGCTGTGATGACTTTGATTGGGTTTCGCATACTGCTGAGTTCCCATGATGCCTCCTTTCTCTTGGCTGTCTGAGCAATCCTGGCTGGTTATGTGGCAGTTGACTTGTAAATGATGGTGATAGTCACTTACAGGGGTTAAAAGCTTTGGTATTTTAAAAATTTATTGCGTTTATTTATTTATGTGTTTGTACGTGTGTGCATGGGTGCGTGCATCTTGGTGTGGGGTTGGGCATGAATAGATGATGTGTGCCCTGCCTGCCATGTGTGTGGAGGTTGAGGACAATTTGGCACCATTGGTTCTCTTCTTCCACCTTTTGGGTTCCAGGGGTTAAAGTCGGGTTGGTGGGCTTGGTGGCAAGCTCCTTTACCTGCCTGAGCCATCTTGCCACCCCAGCTTTACATTCTTGACAAAACTTCGTTGATGCCAAGTGATAGTTGTATTGGGGAAAACATGTGGGTGGTAATAGCTCTATTCCTTGTGCATTAATAGTAAGATGCCAGGTCCTTTCATTTTTTTAATCTTCCCAGAGAAGGACTTGTGATTTTTATGTTCAGGGTATGTGCCTCTCTTTTAAAAAAAAAAAAAAAAAAAAGTTTTGTCTACATGAATGTCTGTACTATGTGCATGCAGTGCCTGCAGAGGCTGAAGGGGACATCAGATCCCTTGGAACTGGTGTTCCAGTGATAGTCGTGAGCAGCCATGCGGGGTCTGTGAACCAAACCAGGGTCCTCTTAACTTTAGGCATTTGTGTGCCTCTTTAGGCATTTGTTTTTTGCTAGACTTCAGGAACTTGGTTTATAACTCTTCACATTTCTTCCACAGTACTGCTGTGATGATGAGATCTTTGAGAATGTGTTTCTCTGGCTGAGGTGTGACTGAGCTTGTTCGCAGCCTCCAAATCCCTGCCTGGTTAACTTAGCAGATGTTTCCATTCTGTAGGCTAGCATCGAGGAGCGCCTTGGAGCCATGGATCTGGATAGAAAAGGAAGGAAGGATGACCTGCAGACAAATAGCTTCCCAATCCTTCTCACGCAGGGCTTAGAAAGCAATGACTTTGAAATGTTAAACGTAAGTATTGCAGCAGATTTCCAGTGAATTGAGAAAGTAGAAGCTGTTGAACCCGAACTCACAGAATGAGCAGTCACATCATATAGCAACATGTGACTTCATTTTTGTGTGTGTGTGAGTGAATGTCGTCAATGTTTTGCTTGGTATAGTGATATACAGACATGCACCAACTCACCATGGGAATGTTATTCTCTTGAACCTGGAATGCATTTTCTCATAGAAATGGTATTTTGAATTGTTGGGTTCCTTAGGCTTTAGTTGACAAAAGCCGTATAAAGTGCAGCTGAACTCTTAACACTCAGCATTCTAGATCACAATTTATATTTTCTTCTGTAGGAAAATGCGTTCCTGAGTTTTTACTCTGGATTCCAGAAACTTATTTCCCCTGGCCGTGAGAGGGGGCAGTGAGGTGGAACCTTGGCAATGGGTAGGAGTTTGGGGGAGATTCAAGCGGGTTGGGGGCTGTTACTGTGTAGTTCTAGAAACTTAAGGAAGCGTAGAGATGGCTGCGTAAGCTGGTGACTGCTTGGAGGAAGCGACTCAGTTTGGCGCTCTTAAATCCAGTTTGACGGTCTACACAGACAATTGACAAACAGTAGGACCTCAGTACTGCCTGATCAGTTAGTACAGTTTTCATTTCTTCACGACCTTGAACTTGTGACCTGTGAGTGCTGTCTCTGATTTTCACTTGATTTCAATGTGACTATCTAATGCTTCTGTCTAATTCTGTATAAAGAGAGGAGGCCAGCAGGTCTAAAAACCTCAATTAAGCAGTTTGTGGCAAATTGTTTTAGGTGAATTTTGGTTTGATGTGACTTGTACCTAGAAGAATTTGATGAAAAATAATCTGTACAAAATATTGGCAGTATTTTTGAAACATATCGATGCTTATGTGAATACACTCTGCAGCCTTCCTCAGTAGATGAAGCAGGTTCTAGAACAGTACTGTAGATCACCAGGAAACAATCTCTCATTTTCATAAGCTCTCCACAAATGCCTGCCAATCCGTCATGTGTTCATTTATCTGCTCACATGCTTCCGCAGGTGGAGTAAAGCTTAGAAATGCTGGGATATTGTTTCATCCATAGACAGACCTACTTAACTTAAAAAACTTCTTTAGAAAAATGGACCACAATCTGTTACCATACCTAACAAAAGTTAATAGTACTTTCAGAAATTATTTGTTGTATTATTACTATGTGTGAGTGCAGATATGTGTATAGAAATCATAAGGGTAAAGAAATACGTGTTCATTTGGACACCTTTAAAACGAGATACTTCTGCTCGTGAAAAGACATGCTGGATGCCAGGGATGTTGGGGCACTCTGTTAATCTCGGCAGTTGAGGTAGGCAGAGATCGTGGACGGTCTGGTCTGCACAGCCCTGGACAGCCTGGGCTACATAGAGAGACCCTATCTCAAAAAAGGACATGGTAGTTAGGTGTAGGAGTATACACAGGAGGATGAGGCAGGAGGATTGCATGCTTCAAGATATCCTGTCTCAGCAAATGAACTAAATGACAGTGTTAGGACCATGCAACAAAACAGCATGATGAAACAGCATGTTGTGGGCTGAAAAATGTTTACTTATAGATCAGCGTTTTTCCCTAGATATTAAAGAGCACTTAACAGGATTTCATTAAAAACAACAACAACAAAAAAAGGTAGAGAACTGAACAGACAACACACAGTTCAGGTGGACAGTAAGAACATACAGAAATGTTCGTCGTTCTTTTGACATTCGTTTGTCGTATATGGCAGAGTATGCCACAGGGGAGGTGTTGAGGTGGAGGACAGCTTTGGGGAGTTGATTGTCTTGCCACCATGGGGATCCTAGGCATTGAACTTAGGTTGTCAGGCCTGGCGGTCAGCTCCTTGGCCCTCTGAGCCATCTCACCAACCCACATGGAAAGATTTTTTCTTTTTTAATGACATTAATCATCCCAGAAAGACAAAATAAAATCTCAGTGAGGTGACACTACATGTCTACTGTGGATTGTTTAAAGTTTAAAAGATGACATTGTGTTGTCAGGGTACCTAGTAGCTGAAAACCACACCTTGCTGTTGGGGGTGTGAAATGGAACAAATTTATAAAAACAATACATAATTTTTTAAAATATAAACAAATTTATAAAAAAATGAAGAGCACATAGAGTGGTGGCACACGCCTTTAATCCCAGAACTCAGGGAGGCAAAGCTAGGTGAATCTCTGTGAGTTCGAGGCCAGCCTGGTCTATAGAGCAAGATCCAGGACAGGCACCAAAACTACACAGAGAAAGCCTGTCTCGAAAAACCAAATATATATATGAAGAGCACACCTGACGTCCAGTGCCACTGTTGTGCTCACACCTATCCATCAGGAGACTAACGAGTGTGTTCTTGCGGAGTCTTGCATGTACTGCTCATTGCCAGTGCAGACAGTGGATGAGTCTCCAGTGTGTGCTCTGAGGGTGAAGTCTGACAAAAGGGGTAGTATTGGAGAATTGATTCTGGAAAACGTGCCCATCTATAGAACAGTGCCTGTGTGGGGTGGAATTTAAGGGAGAGAGATTGTAAAAGGCCCAATGAAACTGGAGGATGATAGAACTTCACTGTTTCCTGGGGAATGTGCTTGTCACATTGATGAAATACTGTACCTTTATATGTGTTTTATTTATGCTTAGTTGTATTGCAGTGAAATTGTAAGAGGAAAAAGAAATCTCATTGCTAGTGTCATCTTCTTGGTTTATAGGTCTGTTTTTTTGTTTGTTTGTTTTTTAAGATTTTATTTATTTATTGTGTATATGGAAGAGGGTGCCAGATCTCATTACAGATGGTTGTGAGCCACCATGTGGTTGCTGGGAATTGAACTCAGGACCTCTGGAAGAGCAGTCGGTGCTCTTAACCTCTGAGCCATCTCTCCAGCCCAGGTCTGTTTCTTTAAATATGGTCTTGAGAACTTACTGTAGCGAGTTGTGTCCTACTTCCCCCACAAGACAGGCTTTCCCTGTGTAACCCGGGTTGACATGGAACTCAGAGATCCACCTGCCTCTCTGCCTTCTGAGTCATAAGATTAAAGGCGTGTGCAACCATGCCCAGCACTGATTTGTTTTTTATACAGCATAGTTTGGGACAATTTATTTGCATTTTTAATTTTTTTTAACTTAAATTGTTAGCATGACTGCCTCCCTTTTTAGTCAGCAGAAGTATCGGGCTGCTTATTAATTCTTCTTTCTGCCTTGAAGTCTCAGATTACTTGTAAGTAGCTAGGCCTCATTCTTATTGGCATCTTACAGTTCTGGTGTCCCATCATCTGATACATACAACTACATGTATTTATTAATAGTTGCTTCAGTTCCCCCAAGCTTTCCAGATTGAACAAGTACATGATCATGAGGGGGTTCATCATTCTGTTTCTCTACTCTGTGTTCCCTCTCTTCTCTCTCCCTTCCTTCTGTCCTTTCTTCCTTTCTTTTTTTAAATACCAGGCTGGCCTCATGATGTAGTCAGCAGTGGCCTTGAACTTCCCAGTTTGGGGATTACAGGCCTGGGCCACTGTCCTTGTTTTTATGTGGTTCTAGGAACTGAACCTGTGGCCCCCTAAGCAAGCACTCAACCACTGAACCACATCCCTAGCCTTTTAAAAAAAAACTTTTTATTTAGACAGGTCTCATTGTATAGCCCAGGTTGACCTTTAACTTACAGATATCCTGCTTCTCGTTTTTTTTTAAACGTTCCCCCCTTTCCCTTTCTTTTCTCTAGCCTTTTCCATGCATTATCTTCCTCAGTCCCATCTGTCTCAGGGCCTCTATTTAATTGTTACGTGTGTGTGTGTGTGTGTGTGTGTGTGTGTGTGTGTGTGTGTGTGTGTGTGTCTGTCTGTCTGTCTGTCTGTCTGTGTCTCCCTCCCTTCCTCCCTCTCTCCCCAGTAGGAAAATAGGTTTATTTAGCAAACCATAAAGAAAGCAGACACGACCGTAGCACCATGTGATCAGGCTTGGTGTAAAATCACAGGTGTGGCAGGCCAGGC